AAACTAGCGATTTTTTGGAGATTTTTTATTTTTTACTTGGCCACAGCCTGCCGTAGGCCCGTGACCTCTCACGTTTACTCTCAATCATGCCAATGAGTCTGCGCAGTCAACACACCAGTACGCCACGCCTGCCATGACGCACACCACAATTTCATTATAAGCATCAATCAAGATGCCGGATAAAAAATTAACATCTTGTTTTAACCACGGACATAAAAGTTATACCACAATTCATGCACAGTCCCTAATTTCACTTCAGAATTTTTTGTTATATTTAATCTTTTGTTATATTTTTTATACTGTTATCATTTGTAAAGTATATATATTTACTTTCCTTTACCTTTACCAAATTTACCTGTCTTTACTTTGTATTCATATTTGGCGACTTTTTGTGAAAAATTTAGACTTTTGAGGGTGCTTCTAGAGATTTTCTGAGGGAGGGGTTTGGCAACACTGGTGTGGACGAAACGCCTATACGATACAAAATGTATGCGTATACAGCTAAACGTGGACTGGGCCTCAGTGTTTTCCATTAATGCCAACAAAATCAATTAACAACACTTACAGCATCAGTAGTACAGACTCAATTCAAAACCTAAATACCTGTTGTTTGACTTAAGCCGGGCTCACACTACAGGAGTTTTAAAATCCTAACCGATTATGAAATCTGGTTGCAGCCCACACATAAGGAGAATCTTTGCAGATTATCTTGCCTCAAATATTAAACATGCACACACTACAAGATCTGAACATCGTGGCGCATCACACGCTACAAAATATTATTAAGATTATCATGCCAGAGGGAGCGCCTCATCTAATCTCACGCAGCAGATCGTCATTGATATTTCAGCCGGGCTCACACTACAGGAGTTTTAAAATCCTAACCGATTATGAAATCTGGTTGCAGCCCACACATAAGGAGAATCTTTGCAGATTATCTTGCCTCAAATATTAAACATGCACACACTACAAGATCTGAACATCGTGGCGCATCACACGCTACAAGATATTATTAAGATTATCATGCCAGAGGGAGCGCCTCATCTAATCTCAAGCAGCAGATCGTCATTGATATTTCAGTTAAGTTTACATATGTTAGCTAGTGCGCTAGCTGCTTTCTACACTCACCCGGTACATTCAAAACTGAGGCGATTTCACTCCAGTGCTTCTCTTTCTCCTTACAGTTGTGATACGTTTTCGACACATTATACAGACAGTCGTGTCACTATAAAACGTCAAGAAGCAGTTTCCTCCGTCTCCACTATCCAACAGGGCCGTACAGCAGCTGTTTTGTGGTCGCGCATTGGCTATTGTGAAAGTACTGACGTAATCATATAAACATGTTTGATATGATCGGGGCGGCCCCGATATGAGTGCGAGCAGATCGGGAGGTGCAAGATTCGATCGGTGAACACCTCACATTACCAGATAATCCGCGCCGCACATCGGGAGCGATCGAGAGGCTCGACAAAATTTTTACTCCGATTCTCGGGAGGGGGAAATCGGGGCTAAGTCGGGCTAAAAATTCTATATTGTGAGCCAGGCTTTACAGCAGTTTTGGAAAAGTGCACATTTGTGTACATGCGCTTTACTGTTACAGCTGTGCGCCGGCCAACATGTAAACAGTCAGTGCTAGCAGCTATAAGTGAATGTCCCCAAACAGGACTGGTATTTCAAGACATTTATAGGTCAGTTTCGTTCTTGTCACAATATTGACATTTCTAACTTCACTACTATACTGTAAAAAATATTGATATTCAATACCACAGGGAAAAACTGACACAACATTAAGGGCATAGTCTGAACTGAATCTAAGTAAGACATTTTATATTATGTTGTAATACAAGTGAACTTTAAACTAAAATGAATATTTTTCCTAACTATATTATTTTAGTTCACTTTAAATTAATATGGATGTCTTCATTTCTTCATTTGCCAGAGTCTAACCCTCAAGCATGTTATATATGATCGTATTGTCTGTTGATTATGTATTGGCTGTATGTGTTGTGACTTACTGCTGCAAAAGTAGTTTCCCCTAAGGGGGGCAATAAAAAGTAAACAAACAATAAAGTATGGCTCAATACCAATTTAGATGTGACAGAAAAAAACTACTAGCCTAATTTATACAAAGTTCAAAAATGATCAAACATAAGTCAAGTGAAGTCAAGTAATAAATTAAGAACAAATAACCCAGTTAAAACCAATGGCACAATAAATACAACTGAACAAATATACAAAAAAAAAAAAATCAGTGCTTTAATGAATTATATCTTTATTTCAGACCCAAGAAGGTCCATATAAAATAAAAAAGCATACAAAAACAACATACAACATGGATAACAACAACAACAAATAACAAGAAAATAATTTACATCTAATGTCCATATAAGCACTTTCTCCAGTGCCTCCAAAGTGCAGAGGTGTACCTAACAGTACTCTTCTCCAAGATCACAATAATTTCATTTTTAGAGGCCTCAAGTCGCTTTATAAATTTATACACAAAGTTTCTGATAACAGCACATAACATAGGCACCTGATTCTGAACAAAAAGCTGACTGGCACTTGTACACCGAGGGACTTTTAATAAAAGTCGCAATGCATCATTATATGCAACCTGCAACTTGTTAAATTTAGCTTTACTGTAACTGCACCACAAGTGGGCAGTATACAGTGGAGTGCAATAGGCTTTAAACAAAGCTATTTTGACATCATCAGTACACATGCTAAATTTACGAACAAGCATGTTAGCTTGTGCATACAATTTACAATACTGTCTCTGAATGTCATCATCGTCACAAAGGTCACTTCTAATGATGTGACCAAGATATTTGACCTTATTCACCACAGATAACTCCTGTCCAGCCAAATAAAGAGGGGAACATGGCCTTATGGTCCTCCTTTGTCCTCACTATTATAACAACACTCTTTTTGATGTTAAACTTTAAATCATATTGCTCACCATAGTCAGAGCAGACTCTAAGCAACTGTTGCAGCCCAGCAGAGTAAGGTGGCATTATGACTAGGTCATCTGCATACAGTAGATGGTTCAAAAGTCTTTCTCCCACCATGCAGCCAGTCTTACAATTTTTAAGTCTCTGAGTAAGATCATCCATATAAAGGTTAAAAAGCATGGGTGACAATATTCCACCCTGTCTAACCCCATTTGTCACTAAAAAAGGCTCCGATATTGTCGTGCCCCATCTAACCTGCATTGTTTGGTGTGTGTATAGCAAAAATGCAGAACCCGTACTAGGTATGGGGGAACCCCTCGCTGCTGTAATTTTTCAAATAGCTTTCCATGATTAATGCGCTCAAAGGATTTAGAGGCATCTAAAAAGCACAGACACATAGTGGAGTTCTGCCTTCTGTACTTGCTCACAACCTCTTTCAATGCATAGATACACATATCAGTCCCATGCTTACTTTTAAAACCAAATTGCTCATCATTGGTAATAACATATTGCTGAAATCGATCCAATAATATTATCTCTAATATCTTAGACATCACGCTGGCTAAGGCAATAGGCCTATAGTTTTCTGTGCTAGATATTTTCCCTGTTTTGTCTTTAATTACAGGTACCAGCAAAACAGAAAGCATAGAACTGGGCAATGTGCCATGAATCAACATTCCAGTAAAACACAAGGCCAATAAAACAACAAGTCTGTGACTAGCAAATTTCAAATGCTCTGCTGTGATCTGATCTGATCTTTAAATTCTTCAGGCAGGTCTAACAGTGATTTTCTCTCTCTTTTGTTGTTTGAATAACATTAATTACACGTCACTTCCTTTAAGACATAACCGACTGTTTATGAGGATACTCACCAAGACAGGTATTTTGAAATAACTTGACATATCTCTCTATTTCGCGCGTTCTTGCACTTGAATGGATAAATATAACTCATTTCTGTATTTGCGCGGTGTCTGAGAGACACTGGTCTCATATGTGTTGTTGCACTTAAATGTTTAAACTGACAAGATAAAAACACTGAGTTGCTGAAAATAGTGGATAATGAACAAAGTGTGACTGGACAGATTAGAGTGTGGTAGGCAATAACACCATAACAGAACGCTTCAACTGGACCGAACGAGACAGTGCAGTTGGTATCGGTATATCGGTACTGCAGAAATTTGATATTGCATTGATTCAAATTTTTCAGTATTTATATGTATCGAAATATCAATATTTCCTTTTGACAACACTACTAGTATAAATGTCAAGAAGAAACAAAAACGTTCTGTTCCTGTGTGAGTCACTTTAGCAGCTTCAACAAAAGTTCTACATACAGAAATGTAATTTTAATTTTAAACTAAAAAAAAGGTTTATTTTTCTTTTTTGAATTCAAGTTTATATAACTTAAAATTTAGGCCTCATGCTTTCATTTATTATTTAAACGAGTAATGTCAAATATCAAATTAGTTCTTGCTGTGGTGTTGAAACTAGTGTTGAGGTGAAATTTCACTTGGTATTGGTACCAGCTTCTAAAATCTTGGTATGTTGACCCTATTTCTCTGAGCAATGAGAGATTGTCTTCCGTTCCCTATCCTGTCTTCACTTCCCATGAAAGTATCAAAATTATTAATAATGTTCAATCTCACTGGCAGCCGCAGGCTCAATCTCAATGTGATTAGAGGACGGGTCATTGGTAGTGTTCATCACTAGAGCATCAGTGTGATTAGAGGGCGTCTCACTGGCATCATCCATCAGTGGAATCTCACTCTGATTAGGCGACAAATCGTTAACACCAATCACCTGTAAGAAAAACAGATTCACAGAAGGTAAAAGACATGAACAGGACTAATGATTCACTTACACAAAAATAGACTAGGAGCTGTGCTGTGGTGTTGAAACTAGCGTTGAGGTGAAATTTCACTTGGTATTGGTACCAGCTTCTAAAATCTTGGTATGATGACACTATTTCTCTGAGCAATGAGAGATTGTCTTCCGTTCCCTATCCTGTCTTCACTTCCCATGAAAGTATCAAAATAATTAGTAATGTTAAATCTCACTGGCAGCCGCAGGCTCAATCTCAATGTGATTAGAGGGCGTCTCATTGGTAGTGTTCATCACTAGAGCATCAGTGTGATTAGAGGGCGTCTCATTGGTAGTGTTCATCACTAGAGCATCAATGTGATTAGAGGACGGGTCATTGGTAGTGTTCATCACTAGAGCATCAGTGTGATTAGAGGGCGTCTCATTGGTAGTGTTCATCACTAGAGCATCAATGTGATTAGAGGACGGGTCATTGGTAGTGTTCATCACTAGAGCATCAGTGTGATTAGAGGGCGTCTCACTGGCATCATCCATCAGTGGAATCTCACTCTGATTAGGCGACAAATCGTTAACACCAATCACCTGTAAGAAAAACAGATTCACAGAAGGTAAAAGACATGAACAGGACTAATGATTCACTTACACAAAAATAGACTAGGAGCTGGAAGTGTATTTATTTTTATGTTTGCAGAACATATGGTGTTCTTTTCCTAAATATTAGTGAATCTGATAAACTGCATTACACTGTCATCTTCTGTACTACAGTAATATACAGTTGTGGCCAAAAATATTGGCACCCTTGAACTTTTAAAAAAAAAAGTAACACCCCTTTGCCTTTTTTTTTTTTTTTTTTTTCAAACAACAACAAAAACCAAAATCTTAAATATGATTTTCATAACAATATAATTAAACTGTTGGAATTATATAATAATAAAAATGTATCCACACCATCGTTTATTATGAAGTAAAAGAGTAAGAACAGCGCTGTCCTGATAAGTCAGTTATTATTGGTGTTTCAGTGTAATGATTTCTGAAACAAACTGCATAAATCACACAAACATGTTGGCAACTTGCAGATCTGAATCAGATTTTTTTGTAGGCAAACTGATTCAGTGCTCGTAGTATCTTACCTGATCATTGTGCCGTGTCCTGGTGTCTGTTTGAACAACAATAACAAACTCAATTAAACACACATTACTTACATTGTTAGAGTAATCGTTAAAAAAACAAAAATCCATCCTGTTATTTCAGCTGTATGTGTAATATAGCAATGACCAGTTCACAATGCATAAAAGGTTGTGAATTGTGCATATATGTGTATATATGTGTGTGTGTGTCTATATATATATATATATAATTTTTTTAAAATGATGAACAGCAGAAAGTATCATAAATAAAATGTATTGGAACCAATGACTTCAACCGAGGGGGACATTGATTATAATAACTACAAAGTATTTTAAGTGTGCACCTAACACTAGGAAAATACAAGTATCAGATCGTGACGGATTGGGTATTAAATTACCCAAATTGGGACACAAAAATTATCGGTACATCCCTAGTATTGATGTAAATTGAATCATTTTTGAACCGAGTTTTTGAAACAAACTGTCTGAAAGAACTAGTTCACAGAAAAAGAAAAAAAATCAGACTTCCCATCACTGTAATGTAATACTCACCTTTCCTTTTTACTCGACGCTTGTAAATATAAAACACACAAACAGATGCAGCCATAAGCAGGACAGCAGCAGCACATATTCCTGCTATTTCACCTGCAGACAGACCTGGAACAATATTAAAATAAAAAAAAAAAAAAAAAAAAAAAAAAAAAAAGTTGAACTATTTTAAGATTGCTCAAAGGAAATAAACTAAATGATACACACCAGTGACATTAACACTAAAGCTCCTTATGATGCTGAATCTGCTGCTGGTGATCTGTAGTTCATAAAGTCCTGAGTCTGTGGTGCTGATGTTCATGATGATCAGAGATCCAGTCTGATTGTCCAGCTTCAGTCTGTCTCTGAATCTCTCATCACCATCTGTACAGATCATTCTGGGTTCTCCAGTGATTTCAGCGATGCAAATGTCATTAAAATACCACGTCATCAAATCATTTGGGTTTTTCATTACACCAGGATCTAAAGTAACAGATTCTCCCTCCTTCACTAACTTTGTCTTCATTTCATCTTGTTCTGCAGCAGGAACATCTGAAACACAATCCAACAGCTCTTTAAAAACCAACATGCACCTGTTTTGTGCACATTTTATAAACGTTTTTACATCAAATCCTCATTCAAAAAAATACCTTAAAAAAAATAGGAGAAAAAAATTGTTTTAAATCAAACTGAATTGTATAAATTGTATAAGTAAATGTATTAAATGACTCACCATGAACAGTAACATTGAATGTCTTTTCACTGCTGCTTCTGATGCTGATGATCTTTAATTCATAAAGTCCAGAGTCTGTAGTGTTGGTGTTTGTGATGGTCAGAGATCCAGTCTGATGATCCAGCTTCAGTCTGTCTCTGAATCTCTCAGTACCTTCATTACACTGAACATCTGTACAGATAAAACTGAGATCTCCAGTGATTTGAGTGATGCGAATGTCATTAAAATACCATTTAATATCTTCTTGTTGGTTTGTTTTAACATCAGTGTGTAGAGTGACTGAATCTCCCTCCATCACAAATGCTGATACTCCATCTGAACCAACACCAGAAAATCCTGAAGAGGAAATTAAGTTAATTATAAGCCAAACTAAAGTATACAACAGGAAAGTGATATGAAAATGTTTTTCCTGCAGGTTTTTAACGTCCTGTCCTCAACTGAACCTCTCCCAGGAAACGTTCCCGTTTTGCATTACGTTCAATACAACCCGCCTGACCAATATAGCCTGCTGACATTCCATGTAGTGATTATTTTTTGCAGCAGAGGACACTGCGAGCAACTTCTTAAAGTTAGGATTAATTATAATGTGTTAACTAACTCAGCTCTCCGTGCCCACCTCCGTCTGTCAGTCGCAGTTTTTAACATTTAACATCAGATCAGTCATATTTAAAATGAGAGAAAATGAAACAAACCGTTGAGTACCAACGAGATCATCGCCGCTTCGCGGGCTTCACACGGAGCGTGTAAACTGCGCATGCTCCTTGACCTTGCGCTCAAACCACGCCCGCTTGATGTCGTCAGACCTGAAACACCCAGTATTCGTTCCTCAACAGAAAAGCACAACCACTCGTTCCGCCATCTTGGCCGACCGACCATAGACTGTATAAAAACATGGACGTAGTGTCCGTGACGTAACCCGACGAGCGTTTTGAACATAATGGTTTTGAAGCCTCCCGGGTGGCGAGAGACGGGGTGTGGAGAGCGGCGAAATCATCCGAGTTTCTGCGCGCCAACGGTCTTCGGTTTACTGAGGACCTTACTGCTTTCGACCGAGAAAGGAGGCTCTTACTATGGCCGGTTGTGGAAAAGGCACGTAAGGAGGGGAAAAGAGCTTACTTTGTTGGTTACCGTGCTTTCATTGAAGGTTCTGAAATGAATCCTCCATGAACTGTTCATACTTTCAAGTGAGGTTCAGTGAGCTATTTTATTTTGTGAAGAACACTGCACATACGGTTGGCTGTAAACTTTTTTGACTTCCCTTTTTGTCAGCTACCTTTGCGTTTTCAACCAGTAAGTTTCGGTTTGGTTATTTACTTTCTTATTCTGAGTTCTTAAGAAAATATTGTATTCCTGTCACCCCACGTGATTTTGCCATAATTATGGATGCCATTCCCAGTGGAGCTATTGCACTATTAAAAAAACTCTGTTGATTCTGTACCCTCCTTTATTTCCCTGACTAATCCCTGTGAAACAGTGATAGGGAAAATTTGCTTTGCGCTCAGCCCTTCTTTCAGGAATAGAAAGATTCGACATCTTTTTCAGAATGATATAACTACTGTTCCTTCTGTTGTATTTCACTGGAGTAATTATCTTTATGATATTCCTTGGAAGAGTGTGTGGTCGTTACCCAATAAATATTTAATTACGAACAAAGTTAAAGAGGTATCCTTTAAATTGCTACATCGAGTTTACCCTGTGAATGTTTCTATTTAATAAAATGCTTCCGGAGAAGGATCTTCTTTGTTCCTTTTGTGGAATGGTAGATGAGTCTATCTCTCATCTCTTTTGGGAATGTACCCATGTAACCATTTTTTGGAAAAAATTCTGTTTATTTATACGTTCTTCTCTCTTAGACAATTTTTCTTTGTTGTACAAGGATGTTTTATTTGGTTTTTATCATGTTGATAAGAATCTAAAGGACAAATATTTTCTAATAAATCTATTTATTTTGCTAGCAAAATTTTTTATACATAAGTGCAAATTTTTGTCTGTAAAGCCCCTATTTCTTATATTTTGTAAAGATCTGAAGTATTACTTGGAAACAATATCTACCTCCAGCAATGTTAAAGCCTTAAAATCGATAACATTGTGTGCATCTTATAATATTGGTTCTTTCTTATAATGTACAGTTGACTGAATGCTCTGTGATGTACTTCATATTACCCCTGGCCCTGTATGTTTTTGTTGTTGTTTTTTTAATTTCATTTTGTTTTGTGATTTTGTTGTTACTAGGGTTGTATATTTTTGTGTACTTGTTGCTAATCCTAATAAAGGAAG